AAAAAAAAAAAAACTAATATAATTTTAATGAGGTGGTTGTCCACATCAGCTGCCATGTAAGATGGTATTAAAATGTGGTAGATTTATGTGGTAAGCATAGCATTACCCATTTTTAAAACCAATTTCAAATAAGTTTATAGGTTTTCAACAAAAAAAAAAAAAGAAAAAAAAAAGATCATTTATGTTTATTTAACGGCAATTTAAGGAATGAACCATATTGACTAACAATCTTAAACACAGGGATCAAATTGGCCAAATTAAAAATACAGGGATTAAATTGGTCAACGTGACAAAATACAAGGACTATTTTTGCATTTAAGCCTTATAAAGTATGTAAAAGTCATTAAGAATTTGTCAACTCTATAAAAGTCATTACAAATTTATCAACTCTATAAAAGTCACTCACTTACAAAAAAATCCTTAAAAGTTAGAATTGGATACACTTCATCATTCGATTAACATCATTTGACTATTCTGATAATTAAATGAGATGACTTATTAAAGGGTCTTTGTTATATGTGATTTTTAGCTAACATCTTTTTAATTCTTTATTTTTGGGCTAGCACATGATATTTGTTTGCATATATAAAAAAATGTGAAGTCTTAAGCAATAAAATATCTCAAAAGAATGCAGAAAACATTATTAGAATATTAAAACAGTATAATTTTTGTGCTTAAGTGCTTGAAGAAGTACTTTAAAATGTGCTTAGTCAGTATTGATGCTTGCTTGCATCAGAACTCAGAACAGTAAGAATAGAAATGCTTCCCGGGTCCGAGGAAGACTTAGAAAAGAGTGTATGCTCTAGCTCCAGAGAGGTTCCCAGAATTTTCCCGGAAAATAGGTTCCTAGAAAACTGTATACACCCCGGAAAATTTCGCAGAACATGCAAAATATGCAAATCTCACCAACCAAGTTGAAGTCAGTCAAGTGACCTAACAGTCCCTCACTCAAAGACCCGAAGTTATGTTTTTTTTTATCTTTCATCAGCTTCTCTTTTCTGCTTTATATTCAGATAAAAAATCAACCCTTTTACAGGTGGGCAGACAAAGATAGTGACATAGTCAAGTTAGTGGAAGCTGCAGGGCTGCAAATATAATTTTAAATTATGGGGTTATTCGCAGCCATGGTCTCTCAACTATACACGTAGTTACAGTTTAGTCACTCAATTCAATTATTAGTTGCAACCTAATTTAGTGACCTCTGTAACTATTTTTGGAGTTGAGTGACCAAAATGTGACTCCGAGTGTAGTTGAGGGATTATTTCTACAAATAATCCTAACTAAAAAGTCACATTTGCCCATCAATAATCTAAGAGATGCTTGTCACGTCATCATTTTAAACAGAAAAAGTCACAGATTTGACGGAAGGACTAATGGTGCAACAAAACACCTACTTAAGTGACCTATGCAACTAATAATTGAATTGAGTGACCAAACTGTAACTACGGGTATACTTGAGTGACCAAAATGTAACTACGAGCTACTGTTGTATATATAAGCTGCAGCTCTAGCCAGGACTTTGCATGGAAATTCAAATGAAATTTCGGATCAAATTTCAGAGAAATGGGTTCTGTTTAAAACCACAATCTTTGATGCTGTCACAAACATAAACAAAACAAACGCGTATGTATGGAAAATCAACATATTGTCTGCACCTTCTTGCAACCTTCATATCATCGTCTATACTACTCTCTAACACGCGTTGTCTAATGTCTATCCACGTGGATTTTAATTTTTTTTCTGTCACTGACTTTCTTTGTCACGTATCTCATGGCACTAAACTGTTTTTGAGTACTTTTCATTCACGACGCGTCTGATAGTTATCGCCTTAAATTCCAATGCTTGAGAATCTTGAATTTGTTCTTTTTTTCTTTAAAAATGAGACAAAAGTACAGACAGTCATCGATCAATCCTATATAGCTCAGGCCACTTTGTAATATCCAAAAATATTAATATCGTAATACAGATTTTGGGTTCTTTTTGGTTTTTAGTATGAGCTCATCTCTGCTTGACTTTCATGGTTAGCGTGTTTCTTGTTACGATTATGAACCTTCCTTGTACCTTCTTTCTGTTCTGTCCATTTAAAGGGTCAATCTCAGCTTGTATTTAAAGCCACTTAGTTTGATTGTTTTGGTTACATGCGCTTCGCTTGTTTAAAATCCTTGTGAGCTTTTGAGAGAACAACTTGTTGCTGTTGTTTGGTGGTTGGAGAAAATTTAGTTGTTGGGTTTTTGATGGTACCTAAGAGGCATTTTCATGAGGAGGGTGGTGAGGACTTCGAATTTCCGGTTCCAGAATCGAAACGCAGGCCTACTTTCAAGAAGTGGGTGGTTTAGTTTGAGTACAAGTTGGTACTTTGTTTTGTGCTTTCTGGGTGATGACGTTGGTTTCTGACTATGAGTTTTGTGATATTTGTGCAGTGTTGTTAGAGATGTGATGAGAGATGTGACACTGAACCAAGTCGAATGGGAACACTTCTTTCGGAGAGTGGTTAGATTCGAATCTCCCTTATTTGTCAATACGAAGTTGATCTGCAAAAGTTGAACTGTTTAACAGTAATTATCATTGCCATGCTTTATTCATGTCTTGCACTTGCTCTGTAAAAGGAACAAAATCCCATTTTCATGGTTTCTTCATTGCTATGCTTTCTCAGTTTTATTGACTTTGATTAGGAAGACCCAGTTCTTGACCAAAAAAGAAGACCCTGCTTAATTAACTACTACAAGGAAACTCTTATTGACTGTTAGGTTTGATATGCCATTAGCCTTCCCAAAAAGAACATATATTTTAAAACTGTTTTGCTTTGTAGACTTCAGTTAGAAGATATGTTATGCGAATGTTTTCGGGTTGTGACAATTCATAACGAACCACTTCAAATTTGTGTCATATAGGTACGAGAGGAGGTCGAACGTGTGATCATTCCCTTCTTTAAGGCATCTCCAAGGTTAGCTTTTCAAGTCAAATATTTATTGCCTTAGAAAACCTGCACTAAATTGTTTCATTTATCTGACAATTATAATCTTCTCTTAATCCTCAAAGCTTCCTGACAAGAGTTTGGGATTTGTTGTTAATTTTGTAACAGGCCCACACTTGAAAGTGGAAGTACATCTGGAGGAAGAGGCTTGCAGTTGCGTTTTACCAATAAACTGCCGTCTACCATATTTACAGGCAGTAGGGTGGAAGCAGAGGATGGCACACCTCTTCAAATTACACTGATTGATGCCAGTACTAATGGTATAGTCCATTCCAGTCCCCTATCTTCAATAAAGATTGAACTTCTGGTCCTCAATGGTGAATTTGGGTCTGATGATCAAGAGGATTGGACCGAGAAAGAATTCAATAACTATGTTGTGCGCGAAAGAGAAGGCAAAAGGCCACTGGTGACTGGTGAAATCAACATTACACTGAGAGACGGAGTTGGTTCTCTTGGTGATGTTGTCTTCACTGACAACTCAAGCTGGATAAGATGCCGGAAGTTCAGATTAGCAGCTAGGGTTGTAGCCAAAGCTCCTAGTGAAGTGCGAATTAGAGAAGCTAGAAGTGAACCTTTCGTGGTAAAGGATCACCGTGGAGAGTGTAAGTTCAAGAAACTTAACTCACTAACCATCTCTTTCATTATTTGCTTGTGGTGTGCTTTATAGTAACAATTTCAGTCTAAATGAAAATGACAAAGAAAATGTTGATTCAGTGTATAGGAAACACCACCCTCCATCCTTAAGTGATGAGATATGGCGCCTGGAAAAGATAGCAAAAGATGGCGCCTTCCACAAGAGATTATCTCGTTTCGGAATTAACACTGTGAAGGACTTCCTGCAGTCATACGTGAAAGATCCATCCTGGCTACGGAATGTAAGGTTCTGCTAGATAATGAGTCTATAGTGACTTATGTAGTTTGATCATCCATCTAATTTTCTGCTGCGAAAATGCAGATTTTTGAAGGGATCTCGAACAGGACATGGGATACAATCATTGAACATGCTAAGGCTTGTGAGATAGATGATCACAAGTTCTATGCCTATCATAGAACTGAGCAAGATGTAAGTCTCCTGTTCGACTCCATCTACAAGGTTGTGGGAGCAATGGTTAATGGCCAATACTGTTCTCTGGATGAACTCACCCCACTTCAGACGGTATATGCATACACATTTTGGAGCTCCTCCTATTTTTTAATATCTCACACTTATTCTTGATCTGCTGTCATTTGTTGGTTGCTATGACTTTGTGCCTAACGTTTCTCTACCATATCATTACCACTGTTGCTCTTCGTCTCTCTTGTTTTTTAATATATACCTTAGGATGAGAAACTGATGAGCTCCCTGGTTCTATTGGCAGAATCTAGTGGAAAATTTGAAGCAGCATGCTTACAGAAATGTAAGAGATATAGTCCCCGTGGATACTTCGATATTTGCCCCTTCAAGGCCTTTGTCAAGTCTACAAGCTGAGTCATTCAATGTCCCAAATCCAGATCTGCAACAAATTGAATTGCAATTCACACAGCTAGGTAAAATGTTATATTGTGTAAAATGGTATTATATCCTGTTTGCCTGTAGTGTTTGAATGCTTATGTACATATTGGTAGTAAAGTTTTGAACATTATGGCCTTCACATGATAAGAGGTTGGTGTTAACTTAAGGAATACATTCCAACTGTGTTAAGTTGCTCTTGGGTTATAGACTAGGTCAATTTCATATTTCAAAGCACATGAAATAGCCTTGTAAATATACTTGAAATCATGACATGGTTGCTTGCTGGTTTTCTAGTTTTGCCATTATAATTTCCCTACTCAAGATTATGCTTTTCCCAAGTACCTGAAACCAAGTAATTTGCACAGATGAACCCTCAATGCAACTAGGTTTCAACCAAGCATCAACCTATCAACCAGAAGTTAGCAATCATTTAGTGGTGTCTCTAGCACAGGCTAGTCATCCAATGCAAGCGTTCCCTCCAGCGCTACGAAACAGCTTTTCGATGGAGGATTTTAACTCCCTGCACTACAATGGAGAAAGCAGTTGGCCGCCGCTCAATGGTTTTCAAGCGCCAATTGTTCCAAGTGCTCATTTAAGCACAGAGAACCTTTTCCAGGTCCAAGCATCAACTTGGTCTCCTACAAGTACAAATGTAATATGGGGACAAGCAAACAGTTTTTGCTTTGGTTCTTCAAGTAACGGAACAGAAGCCGGCCATTTCCCACACATTTCTGGTCTTGTACATAATTCAGGGACAAGAAAACCCAAGGCATGCTGGTGCAAGCTTCGTGCCGCCATTAAATGGTGGGTTTCGGTCAGACGGGATGTGGCTGCTAAAAGGATGGCAAGGCCTCTGTACTTGGACTACTAGACTAATGTAGTCTCATAGTTTTTCTTTAGCTTGTTAATTTGGCCTCTGTATGCACTAGTTAGAGCAAGTACCTAAATAGTAAGAGGTAAGCTTCTCCTAGTCCTAGATGTGCTAAGCTTTAGTTCACAGATTTATTTTCCTGCAGTTTTTCCTCCCTTTGTGTATAAATGTGCAAAAGGGGGGAGGGGGTTTCTCTTTTGTTGTAGTTATTTGGCCATAGTGTACAGAGTGTTCAAATGACCCATGTATAAGTGGCTTCTGAAAGTTACAGAATAAAACCTTTCCAGTTTCAGTTTCAGTCTCACAAGTAAGCTCAATCCAAAAAAATCAATTGTTACATTGTTTTCAATGTGAGGCATGGTCCGAAATTTCGAAATTATCCACAATATTTTGCCAATTTTGTTTTTTTTAAGGGTGTTGATATTTCTAGCACTCTGTCACGATAGTTTTGTTTTTCCAGTTAATAATATAGAAATTATTGACATTTCGTGAAATTTTCCACAAATGATAAGGGAGTCATTTGACATGGATCAAAAAGTTACTGTCTATGATGTATATGGAATTTAGCAAACAATTCCTTTTGGGATCTCAGTTACTTTATATAATGTATGTGGTAATAAGAGGCTCGGTTGGAATAATTTTCTTCTTCAATTCTTACTATTTCATGTTCACATGACAATAGACAATTAGAAATCCCAAAAATTAACATTACACGTGTCATCCGCCTTAACAGGAGGATAAAACTTCCATCAATGAACCTAAAAATTATGTCATTGGCACTCCAAAATATTCATTATATACCATTTTCCCTTGTTTTTCAAATGTGACTTGCAAGGATGGACAGTTAAGAAGCCCATATGGCCAGACCTGGAACAAGGCCCAATGGTAAATCCCGTAATTTCATCTAACCACGGGCCCTTCTCTGAAAGTTCCCAATAAAATATCTAGCCAGCCACCCGGCGGGCGAGTCATATTGCACGGATGGAAAGAAATCTCTCGAAGTTTCCCCCCTTCGTATCAGGGAGAAGATATTTTCTCTGTTTCCGAAAATAAACGCCACCCAAAAAATTAAAAAGAAACAAACGAAACCGAGACAAACGCACAGGGCCTCTCTATTCTTTTTCCCTGTGAAAGGCTCACAGACATTCCTCTGTGGCTCTGTGTCTGCTCGTTGCCTCTGGTTTCTCCATGTTGTGAGAGAAGCTTGCTGCTATAATTAAAGCTTTTCCTTTATCTTTGAAGGCTCTGTATTTTTCTTACTTTCTATTTTTTGTGGTGTTGGGTGGATTGAGGGTTTTGTCGGGTGTGTGAGTGATGGATAGGGAGGGAGGTTCCAACGGCGGATCTTGCTACTACGCCGTCCTCGGGATTCGCAGGGACGCCTCCTTCTCGGATATCCGTACCGCATATCGCAAGCTCGCTCTGGTAAAATTAATTACGCTCAAACACCGTCGTTTCTCGTTCCCCCTCATCATCCTCTTCTTTCTTTGATATCGCGTTTCTTCAATTATTCTCCTTCTTGCTGGTCCTCTGTTTTTGATTTTATTATTGTTTATTTTCGTGTTTTGAAGAAATGTCACCCAGACAGGGCTCGGAACCAAGCGGTGGCCGGAGAAGCCAAGCGGCGGTTTCAGCAGATCCAGGAAGCTTACTCGGGTAACATTATCACTATAACGACGTCGTTAGTCAATTAAAAGCATGATAACCTTAATTTTCCCGGTGTTTGCGCTAACGATTTGGTCTCCGCAGTTCTCTCGGATCAGGCGAAGAGATCAATTTACGACGCCGGCCTCTACGACCCTCTTGAAGAAGAAGACCAAGTCCGTAATCTCTTCTTCATCCTCTGACAAGGCCAAATTGTTCACCGTACATAATGCGTGTGTGTGTGTTTTTTTTAAAGTAAAAAAATATATACACACTTCCAAAACGACATCGTACGGTGAATGATTGCCTTGGTGACGTCACTCTCTTTTTTAACCTAATTGGTTATTTCCTTTTATGTACCTAAATGATGTAAATTTGTCGGCAGGAATTTACGGATTTCATGCAAGAGATGCTGTCCATGATGAACAATGTGAAGGACGAGGTAGGGATATTTACTTACCTTACACGTAATTGTCAAGGGTAAAATGGTAAATATCAGTTGCATTGATATTTTTGGGTCCATAAAAATGATTTTAGGGAAACAGTTTCGAAGACCTCCAGAAGATGTTCGCCGACATGGTCGGTGGTGGAGATGGGATGGGATTCGACTTCAGCGACATGGATCCGACGTCCTCAAAGAAGCCACGTGTCGGTGCATCCAACACGGCCAAGCGCAGCGCGTCTCGGCGGTAACGCGCTGTACCTGATCATGGAAGTTGATGTCCTCACCTACCACCCCATTGAACTTTTCTTTTCTGTTTTGTTCCCTTTCTTTCAATTGGGAATTGATTTAAACTTTAATTAATTTCCCAAATGAAGATGTGAAAGTGGGGCACCTTCTATAGTGCACCAGGTGCACCCATGCACCATTTGTCCTTTATGATTCTCCCAGATTTTTTAAAAAATTGGTTACCGGTTGTACAAGTTATCAAGTTTCTACTTTTTGAAAATGCAATTGCATAAGGGTCATGCAATTATGCCCTTCCTGTTTGGCAATTGGCATATGATTGGATAGTGATTTACAGTAATTTGGATATGAGAGTACCATAACATTGTAAGAGGATCCTAAAACTTATAAGTTACAAGATTTGGGTAGCAATT